TCAGCACTCAATTAGACATGTATATACGGTTTCATGCTGACTCAGAGCTCCAAGATAGCCACTATTTTTTTCTTGTTGAGTATCCCCCCATAGAGCGAGCAAGCTATTTTTACCTGAATCTTTCTAGTGTTATTCCTGATAGGAAAAAATAAACCCTGTGTGTTTGAAGTCAAAACTGAAAGAAGGGATCTTTTCTTGGGGGTGCCTGTGATCCTCTGAACCTTTCAGTTACTGAGGAAATGCAGCTTCTGTGTGTGCCTCTGTGCTCTTCCTTCTTGGTTATACTACATGGAGGACCTGCTGGCAGGAGAAGCACCCTCTGAGCTACAAAGGGTTGATCAGTCCATGTAAGAAAAGAGCAAGTGAGACAGAGACAATAGTGTCTTTGGAATCAAGGGGTGGAAAGCTGATGGGTCAGAGCCGTTTCAGGGAACAGTTATAGAGCCAAGCTGGTAAACTGTTATTTGGAGGGGAAAAAGACAAAAATAAAAGCAATGAAGTCTAGTTCCAGTAGGCAGGAGCTTTTTGTGGCTGTTAAATATAAAGTCTACAGTTTTTTCCCTCTTCCCTCATCTCCTTTGCTTCCACTGTCTGGGGGTTTACTTTTCCACTGGGTACACAGCCAGCTCTTGAGAGGGGAAAGTGTGGCCTGAATAGCAGTTCCCTGGCCATAATCCCTGAAAGATGACTGAAACTACAATATACGAAGTAGACAATAGAGGCTGGGGAGGATGTTTTCCTTCTCTGGTGTGTGTTTGGCTAGGAAGGGCAAGATTGTTTTTTTTTTTTTCTTTTTTTTTTATGCTGCACATTTTTGTAATTCCAGCCATGCACAGAAAAAGCTGGGCTGCGAAGGTGCCTGTGCACCTGTACAGGGTGGGACAGGCATTCAGAGGCAGAAATAGACACCGAGCCATCCTGTTTGGGCAATTAGACTCTTCCTGCATTCTCACCACGGTCGGCATTTCAGCGGCTAAGCCACAAAGGGAGGTATAAAGACAAATGTGATCTCCTTTTGAAAATACCTGTACTTAAAAGAACCTCCCTCCTGGGATGGCATTCATTATGTCTCTGTTTATTCATCCTTTGCTCACATGATAATTTGCTTCTGCAGAAATGTATCCCAGCTCCACCCAGTGCTGGGAGTGAGCCACTTCTGCTGGCACGGTTGGAGATCGTTTACCAAGAGAAATTAGCTGTACAGCATACATAATAGTGACTGACACAGCTATACCTGCCCACAGCTGCTCTGAACATCATCACCACCCTTTCAGTAGCTCATCCCAAATCCCAGTGGATTCCTAACTCTTGCACTGTACATCTCTTCAAGAGTTGGTAATATTCTGAGATGGCTTTAAGTGTAAATGGCAGGAGTTGTTGTTGACTGGGGAGAGGCAGATGAAATGCCAGCCTCTGTCACAGCTCTCTCCTAACGTAAAAGATTTGTGGCAGTGGGTTGAACCGAAGCAGCAGCTGCTGTGGTGTCACTTGGATATTGATTGGGGAGTGGGGTGAGTGCAAGGAGCAGAAAATGCTGTGGAAGAGGGGCCAGATAGGAAGAGGCTGGCACAAGTGCTGGGCTCCTTTACTAGGATGCATCTCTCTGCCTTGTGCTGCAGCCATCTTTCTCTGCAAATTAATCCTGTTTCTGCTGTGCCTCTCTCCAACTGAACATGCTAGCAGGTTTCTGTCTTCTGGATAAGATTTCTCCTTCACGGTCATCAGTCGTTGCAGAACCTCAACTCCTCTTGGTCTAGAGTAACTCAGGTTTCCATCCCACCTGGTAATGTGCCCCAGATTCATTCACCTCCACTCTGCCAACCCAATCTGTTGTTCAGGAGTCTCGTCTGTCATTTGCAGGAATAATTGCAAAAATTGATTCATGGGAAATGCCTGTAACAGGCAGATCCTTTTGACAGACCACACAGCCATCATATTCTGCATTTATTTGAGTCAATCAACGCTCTGATGCATATTTGGGTCATAAATAGTCTTGATATAAATTGCATTTATTATTATGACAGCTGTGTTCCATTACCTATTATTTGTCCTTTCGTTTTGCACCTTGTGGAGCTGTCAGGTCAGCTGCTTACTGATGGCGAAGCTCACAGCTCAGTTCAAAATCTTCCAAAAATAAATTCTCTGAAGGGAATTGGGTAACAGCAGGATGTCTGTTGTTGGAAATGCATTGGACATTCTTTTTGTTTGTTTTTTGTATTGGAAAGAGGAGGTTTGCACTTTTTGCCTGCTTTTGCCCAAATTTCAGAATTAGACTTTGCATTTATGATGCAGAGGTCATTGAAGCTAATAATCCTACTGATTAATGTGAATTTTGGATCACACCCCCCATGTCTCAAAGTTGAATTAATCAGGTTATTCGATATTTGAAATGGTGGGATGCTGACTTGGATGTTTCCAGTTTTCCCTTGGAAGCTCTTTTAGCTTCATGTCTTTTTACATCGTAAAAATAGCAGAATATATGATTCTGAATTGAATGAATTTCAGTGTCCTTCCAAGGGTAGGGTCAAATTGCAATGGGCACACTGTTCTGTACGTGTCAGAGTCATTTTCTGCTTCTCACTCCCAATAAACAGTCACACATTCTTCGTGCCAGGTTGCACCAGCTTTGGAAGTTGCCGAGCAGTTTGGTGTTAATTCAGGAAACCACTACATCATGGAATTGATGACTCTAAAATGCTTAATATAAGCATGTGCTTAAGTGCCTTGTTGGACTGGGGCCAGTGCAGATGCACCCTTGCAGAGTAGAGATTTGTAAGCCACTGCTGGTCTACTAGAGCCAAGTTCACTGGAGATCAAGGGTTTCGGGGGTGCGGAGCTCAGGGAGCTGGACTGTGCTGCAGGGGTGGGTGAGCACGACAAAGTGCTCCTGTGTAGGAAGACGGGCAGTTACCCAGGCAGTCCCTGTCCCGCGACTAAGCAGGGAACCTGGCTCAGCAAAACGGTGGGGCTCTGGGGCTACCCCGAGCATTGCGTGCGGGAGGTGGGAGCCTGCGTGAGCAGAGACCTGTGCCGGAGACGCGCAACAGCCCCGTCTGGCAAAGCTGGGCTCTGCACCAGGGTGTGTGTGCTGCAGGGAAGGGGCAGCGGCGCTGCCCGGTCTTCCGAAAAGGTATCAGCCCCACATGGGGACTGGTTTCCTGGGGATAGAGTGCTAAGCTGGGTTTCAGACTAGTTGTGTAGCTTCTGTGTAAAACACGAGGTGAAAATACTGCGTAAGTGCTTGTAGCTGCGTTCAACAGGTTTTGTTTGCCCAAGGATTTTGGGATAGGCGTGGGGATGGAGCGTTCTGCCTATCAACAGGGTTTATGTGCTAGCTTAACTGCAATGTTGCTCATAGCATGACTATTGAAATATGTGTGATTTAACATTGCATGTGCTTCTTTTCATGTCTTAACGTTTCTGTATTATCGCCATTTATTTTACTCTAAACGTAAAAAGAGGAAAGCTGTAATTCCTATCAAATATCATAGTGCAAAATTGATATACACACAATCACGGCTCACAAAATATAGATGCAAATGGCTATGTATTATTTATAAAGCAGCTTTGACATCTTAATATATTAAAAAAGCAGAGACGTTTAGATCATTTCATAGTTCAGCATTCTGCATGTTTTTGAGCTATCGTATATCATGCATGAAAAATTAATAATTTGGGTCTTAACCGCCTGAATTTTATGCGTGCATTCCAAGCAAAGGGGTGTGTGTCCTCATCTCTTGCCTTTTTTTTTTCCTATCCTATCCCTCCCACCCACTTTTATACAATTAAATGTAGACGGCTAGGGTTAGACAATGCCAAAAGCCCACCCTGCCTTCCAAGAACTACCCAATAATTAATGTGAGTCATAAACCTGAGAGTAAAGCAGGATCTCAGGGTATTCCAGTGTCCCACCCAAATCCTTCTGGGTTTACTGAACCCAAGGCAGACAGTGAAAGTCAAAAAGTTCATACTACTTGGCAGTAAAATTAATGTGGCTGCTCTCGTCCAAATCTCTAATGAGGACAGACAAAAGCCGGGTATAAATCAGCTTAAAATCTAGGAATTTCTGCTAAGTTCAAATTAATAATGAATACGGTGCGAGTGCCTCCTTTCAGGCGTTTTCAGTGGTGTCACTGGCTAGATTGGTTTGAGCTAAGCTGGAGGAGTGAGGTCGAGGAGATTTTGCAGAGGTTTTATGCTATTTGTGCTATCAAGAGCCTCAGTCCTACGTGACAGAAGGTCTTGGGTTAATGCTTTGGGTTTTTTGGGGGGAAGCAAAGGGGAAAGGTGACCTTGTAGTCTTTCAGAAGAGGACATTCCTGGCCTGTTAGGGCATTCTAGGTTAAAACTCTTTTAGTGAAACTGTTGCTCAGTAATGGGTGTAAATACAAGTTCAGTGCAGGTGAAAGGAGCTAATGAGGAGGAAGGAGTTTTCTGTCTAACTACAGGGCTGGTGCTGGTAGGATGATAGTAGTTAACTGTTTTTCCTTAGTGTTTCTGTGAACTAATTCTGTAATTCTGTTTCATAGTTGCTTTAAAATACTGCTAGGAAGAATGAACGAACTTCAGTTTCTGTGGCCTATTTCTCTCTGGTCTCTACTACAAGAGACAACAAGGAGCCCTGGGCTTGATTTCTGTTTGCTTGAAACTCCTTCCAACCTCTGCTTCACCTTCTCAGTGACATTTAGGCAGAAGCTCTTCATTTATTCTGCCCTGGTTTTGCCTATGCCCGGATGCTGAGCTCTCAGCAGACTGTAAGGTGCCGGTGCTTTCAAATGTAATATGAGTTCACTGGTTTCTTTGGGAATGAAAAATCGGTTTGATTAAGGAAACACTGACTTCTGAAGCCCTATCAGACTGCACAACTTTGTAAGGCAGGGCGGCAGAACGTCTAATTAAATGGAACTGCTCTCCAGAGGATTTGGCTTGCAGAAAATTAGTTTTCAAGTGCTTGGCCTGATGTTTATTAAACGTTTCTTTCCTTTTCCTCTCCTTTGCAGTTTTCATCTGTAGTTTCATGGTTGCGGCACCTATCTTTGGTTACCTCGGTGACCGTTTCAACAGAAAGATCATTCTCAGCTGTGGGATCTTCTTTTGGTCAGCTGTCACATTTTCAAGCTCCTTCATCACTGAACAGGTAAGATCTTTGCAAAGGCACTTTAAAGGGTGTCCTGAAAAAATGGACAATATGTTCCTAAAAAACGCCCATCACAGTGTGCTCAAGGGGAACGTATCCCTCTGGTGTGGATTTGACATAAAGCGTATTGCATTATCTTACCTTTTGTAGGTGAAGTGTGGTCTGGGTAACTGTGTTTTCTTAACTGTGAAAGCTGTTATTCTTTGATCATCCACATTCATTAAAAAAATAACAGGTGAAGCATATCAAAGCAAGAATTTCTGTTGAAATAAGGGTTTTGTTTTGAGGGAGATCCTAAAGAAACTTTAAAAAGCTTTAAAAATTACTTTGAAAAAAAGCTGTCCATGCCTATATAGTGGTTCTCTTCTGATATGTAAGAGAAGCTGTTGGAGTTTGTTGGGAAATCTGCTCGTCGTATGTAGAGTGACAAAATGCGTCCAGCAGTGGTTTTATACATGTGCTTTGTTTCCTGTCCGTCAAAGGTAGTAAAGGTGGATGATAGCATAGAGATTAGACATAGTTTCAGCTTCTTTAATGCTAGTTGATGGGTATGTTTGAAGAACTGATGATGGAGTTGTCAGGGTCACTTAATTTTGTCAAGCTATGCGCAGCATCCCTCACCTGCTTTCAGGACAGCAACAGTACCCCATTTTGAGGACTCCTCATTGCATTAATTTTCTTGCCTGTCAGAGGTACTTGTAGGAAAGAATGATCTGGCAGTTTCTGGGGAAAAATATCTTCTTGTTTAAATCATGTTCTAGAGGAGGTTTAATTGCTGCAGGTGGCAACATTCCTGGAGAGACAAATCACAGCTCCTGGCATCATCAGGCTGATTTCCCCAAGAGAGGCAGGGGCATTCCTCATCCTTTCTGTCCATCTGCGTTCCAGAGATTGCAGCATTGTGGTCGCGCCTAAAGAATGACAACCAGAGACTAAACTCTCCGCCCTGCTCCCTCCTGCCCACACACATACTCTGCAGTTTCTAATAAAAGAGAATTTCCACCTAAAGTGGGCAGTGGCAGTCACGTGTCTGTCTGGCTTTCGTGTTGGATTGCTTGTTGCTGCATTTCTAAAGAAAAATGCGTATGGACAAACGTAGAAGCCTTTAACTCAGTGAATTGTTCTGGTTTAAAATTGGGCAGGAAGCATCCTTTCTAGAGAAAGAACATCTCCCATCTAAAATGAAGAGGGTGTTTTGGTTTGCCTTTTTTTTTTTTTAAATTCCTCTTCATAACATTCTGAAAAAGCAACAGAGCCCAAAGAGGGAAGCATTTCATGAAGGAACCAATTACCTGCTTATAAACCCTTCTTCTGTTACGAACACACATTCATACTCAGGTTCTCATAGCTCTTTCTGTAATGGACCTAGTCCTGTAGTTGCAAGTAGTGGAACATTGGAACTGGACTGATGTAATCTGTGTTTTCAGAGTTGATTTTCAGTTTAAGGATTTGGGGCTTATTAGTTGAAGTAGTTCAGGGATTAATATATATGGTCATCAGTATACAGCAGCTCAGAGTGGAAGTGGCATATTTTTAGCCAAAGAAAGGGAGAATTAACGTTTATAAAGCCAGATTATGTTTGGAATCCAAATCCCAATTGTTTTGGAAGTCACAAGAGAGCTATAATAGCCAGACTTGGGTTAATTTCTCCTGGATTTGCATCAGTGCTAACTCTGGACCCAAACTACAACCTTGGATAAAACCCACCCTAACACTGAGAAAAATCCCCTGTCCTGATTGTGCTGTGATTCTCAACTCTACCGGAAAAATTGCCTATTAAGCTAGGTGTCTCATGCCCAGCTCTTGTTATCGGCTCCAGGAGATAACGGAAAATCTTTCAGCTGCTCTGTGGATGTGCTTAACCCAGTGGCTGCAGCAGTTGAGCAAGGTCATAAGAATAATCCCAGCTTTACATAGTATCCCTACCACTCTGGTATCCTTTTTGGAGGCCTGATCTCTAATTGGGAAGACATGCCACATTGAACAAGGTGAATTTCTGAAGTACTAATGAGAAAAAGAGTCAGAGAAGAGCTGATGCAGCTTTTTTCCTTTAGGCAGTGACTAACCAGGTATTTTTCCTGATCTTTGACTTCTAGGATGTATTTGAGGAGCAAAACACTGGCTCTTCACTCAACATTTTTTATTTCTTTTAAGACTGTACGTGTGTTTGTCAGGGAGGAAGGCCAGGAACTGAAATATGAAAAACTCTTGTCAGCACAAATAAAAGCAGTAGTGAGGCTACTGTAACTAGATAAGTACTCACTCCCAAGTTAATATGAAAACACAGGGCTAGAAGGGGCAAGCTAGCACAGGCTGAGGCCATTGAAAAACTGTACAGAAAACTCCTTTATGTGGCGACAGCAAAAATACTGAACTAGGTGAGCAACAATAGCCATTCCGTAGAAATAGCAAACTGTGTCTTCAGGCATTGCCTTTCTTCAAATTTTGACAGTGTCTAGTGCCTCGTGCATGCTATCACTGTGTAGTTAGAGTACACTTCCGCAGAGTTCAAATTTGGAGTGGAAGTGGAAGGAGACAGCTTAACAAAGGCAGAAAACAGCTACATTGCTCGTGGAGTCCGAAGGCACCCAGCTTGTAAAGGTTTTTGGCAGTGTGTTGTTGATATTAGTTCCTGGTTGAAATTTGGACACTTAAAAGAAAACAATCAAAATGCTATCTTTTGTAATTTAGTGTGCAAATAAGCATACAGAAAAGGACATGTTAATTTTTATCTGTCAAGTTATTCAATGAAGAAATATCCATGTGGCAAGAAAAGGACAAGGAGTGAGAAATTATCTCAGTGAGGTAGATTTTGATCTGGAAAAAAGGAGCGGAGCACAATGAAACTGTTCATCTAAGATACTATCTAAATGCTATTTCATGCTGTTTGGGTTAAAAAGATAGTGACTGAAAATTGGCAGATAAAACAGGGAATTGGATATATATGCTGTGCAGACATGTAGTTGCTAGAGAGCACCACATTAAGGTTTGTAACCACTTATTAAAATATCCTTAGTTATTTATTACCAAATATCTTTGGGCTTTTAACATGGAATAATGACCATCAAATAAATGAAGAATGAATCTCTCTTCTGCTAGCAGTTACTAAATAACTAAATAATAGGCTCTCACAGGGAAAAAAGAAAATAGACCAAAATTTAAGGATAGTTCCAGAGTATATAGGAGGTGATAGTTACAGAAAACAGCAATGCATGAAGTCCGTGCCTAGCAAAACAGAAACAGGACAACTAGATACTTAAATGTTTGGTTACTGTTCATGAAGTCTTAAATTACATTTAAAACAAATCAAAATAAGAAACACAAATACCGTATCAGACAGTAATTCAATAAATACACTTGCTTTCATGGATAAAAATAGCTAATGATAAATTTAACTAAAGAAAATCATCAGAAGGTCACTTTTTGTTCTGTCAAATAACATGATTTGATACTTTATATTAATGCACAATTTCTCTACAGCAAAATAAGAAATGAGTCCTCCTCTACTTTGTCTCTGCTACTTTCTGCTCTATAACACTGTTTAGCACTTTCTAAAATAAAAGTTTCTAAAATAAAAATTTGCTTTCTAAAATAAAAGTTGCATTAAAAAATCATTAACAAACTTGTTTGTTAATCTAAAATTAGTTAAAATCGGTACATATTTAGACATATCTCTAGATTAACTCCATTTATAGAAACTTCAATAAAGTATGTATGTGTCTTAATTTGTATTTTGTAAGTACAAACACCTGCTTAGAAATTACCTCCCTTTATGTATGCCTTTTAATCAGTTCTGCACCTGTGGGTAGACAAATTTTGGTACTTTCACCTGCAAAACCCTTTCTTGTCTTGTTTTTAGCTTTTGGCAAGCATTTGGAGAAAACACTTTCTGGCTGTTGGTTCATGCTCCTTAATAAATCAGCAAAAAATAAGTATACTGCTGTGCAGTATAGAGTTGTATCACAGAGAAATGCACTGAGCACACAGACATCATGGCGTTTCTTTACCAAGATGCATTTCCATCCATGCAAAAAGCTAAATATGTGTCTGTCTTCCTCTGTATCAGTATAAACTCTAATAAGTAACCAGTTTTTTCTCTTAAGTGGCATTTTGATGAGCATAGTGCCTGACTGCCTGTGTTGTGGCTGATCATCTCGAGCTGGTTTATATTCCAGGATGTCATTGGAAAGAGTCTGTAATCCCAGTTGCACCATTTCTCTCTTTCTGGCCAGTTTCATGTGAAGCAGCTTGGTTATCGGGAGCGATCAGGCTATGTGCTGAGAGTTTGTTTCTGGCTGCTGGGATATCCACATCTATTAGTCATAATAATAGTTCTTACAGCTGACTACTTTGGTCAGAAATTTATTGTAGACAAAACCTTGCTTTTGGTGATAACCTTCCTACCCCTCTTAGCACAAACTTCTGAGAGACTGAGACCCTTCTCCCTTGTGGGCAGACACCAGCTTCTTAAAGCAAGAAGGAGCTTGGAGGTGGAAAGTTGCAGACAGTTTCCCCTGTCTTGTGAAATACTGCTATTTCCCATGTAAATATCTTGAAAAAAGCATATTTCTATGTCAAAGGGATGCTGTTTTACAGATGAGCAAAGTATTCTACTAACTAGTTTGGCTCCACTAGGCTGAGAGACCAAGTGTACCTAATAATCAGCCAGACCAGGCTGTGGTAACGTGGGTTCGCTGGGAGACATCAGAGCTGCAGATGGTAGAAAGTTTGGAAATGGAAAAGCAAAGAATTAACATGGTAAACCAGGAATGTGCTTTTGAGTCCTTCAGTTCTTGGTAAATATTTCTCTTTAAATGTTGATGTAGCTAACATGATGAAACCTTTTTGCTCCCACTGCAAATTAATCTGGATAGGTATTTCTGCTAGTGTTTTTTTTTCTTTTCCTCTCCTTTTGATTTATCTCTGAAAGGGGAAGAAATAGGCCACTGTGGAATTCCAGTTAGCCTGCAGTGCTGGATAAAGTCCTGTCTTTCAGACTT